TAACTCCCAAGGCACAAAACTTTGCATCTCCCCTTCCTGAGCTTCATAAGATGTCTCTGCTCAATTCGTCTGCCTGTCAAGGTCCCTCAGCATGGCAGCAGTGACATATCAGCCACTCCTCACAGCTTTGTATGATCTATAAACTTGCTGAGGGCATACTCCATCTCATCATCAGGTCATTAATGAAGATGCTGAACAGCGCTAGTCCCAGTACTGAGCCCTGCAGAACAGCAGTCCAGGAAACATCTGGAAAGAAGTTGGTCAGGCAGAAGCCCATGGGTTAATCTACTTCAGGTGCATGGACAGCAATTGCTTTTGCCATGTCATACTTGTATGATAGTACACACATAAAGGTAAGTAAGGCTGCAAAACAGTAGTACAAGGTCTCCATATAGTCATTCCCCACAGAGCAGGTCTTGCTTCTAGAATGCAGATAAAACTTCCCATCTGCCTAAATCAACAGTCCCTTCCAGGTTGCAGTTGTCCCGAGATACCAGGAACAAGAACAAATGCACATACAATCCTCTAAGCTGCATGATCTTTCCAAGTTAAAAATGATTCAGCCCTCCTGTCATACGGAAGTAAAGCACGTTAACTTTTGGGTTTCATTTTCATATTTCTAGGAAGGTTCTTATTTCCTTCTGAAATAGTCATGACATAGGACCACATCTGTGTACAGCTAAATCCACAAAAGGTAATAAATTCTGCTGTGACATAATAAAGCAAGCACTAGTCTAACATTTAAATAGGGCAAATGGCACTGTTACCCACATGCTCACATAACATAAAATTTTAAGTCAAGACAAATTCATCCAGAGACCTTCTCTAGAGCTGAACTGAACAGTATCACAAACTTTTTGCATACAAATGACTACATCCATTATACTCCTTATCAGTGTCTGCTATAATCAGGCAATCAGGCACAATGTTTTCTCATGATCTTTCATCATTTCATAAAAGAGATCGAACTCAACTGGGACTGACTGTGGCAAAAGGAATGGCATTATAGATAACAATTTTAGAGAAGGACTTGCTTCCTCCTCCATAGGAGCAAGGAAGACACTAATAAGCAAGCTGCTTAGTAGCAGGGTGCATAGTAGGTTGAATTTCACAGGCTTCACACCCATTTTGTTACGTGAAAAAGCCACAGAAATTTCTTACCTGCAACAAATGACCGCTTTACAGGAGAGTGCCAAGTCTAGAAAGCTCTGCCTGACTTCAAATGAAAGGGCATACTTCAGTGTGTGGCCATCAATAATCAGGGCAATATCATTTTCCTTGCCCAGCGACTCCCCCAGACTGGTACAATGTTGAGTCAGAGAGGCTCTTGTTGCCTGAAGAAAAAACAGAAAGAAATCATGTTTTTTTCATAATATAAGAAAAGTGTATCCAAACTACAGCAAGGCATCTCCAGACTTTGCAACAGAGCTCAGAATATGCGCACGCAAAATCAGCAGCGACATGAATTTGTGTTTTCACAGGACCTCGTGTAGAAATATTAAGTTGTCACAAATCAGCAAAAGTTGCCTCTGCTTGCTTAGGAAACCACGTCTTGATTCATTGCAGACTCCAGCATCTCCCCTACACAGTCCTGCATGATGCATGTGCCTACAGTAGCTGGCACACATCCTTTTCAACTGTAGCCCAAATGAATTAACTTCCCTGGGCAAAACAGCTGGGAGGAGAATCAGGCCACTTTCACACAGAGGGCAGAGAAAAGTTGGGGCAGGAGTTGGGGGCTGGGGACAGAGAGAAAGAGAGGAAGTTGCTTTGCAATTCATCTTCTCTCACCCCACTCATTGATACAGTAGTCAAAACAAAAACTCACTCTGATTCACAAGAAAACTAGCCCCACACTACAGAAAAATTTAGAGATTAAGTTAATGAGTATGGTAGAGTGCATAATTCAGTCCTTTCAGACTCGGACTACCTTTTGCACCTTCTTCATTACAAGAATGACTGCATTATTCCCTGTTTCCCCATTAAAATGTGAGGGATTAGATTTATGATTTCATGACTGTATGTGAAAATTTAACACAAAGTAGATGACTGTGCTTAAACCTTTAGAGACCAGAGCTCGGAAAACAAGGGTATATCTTCAGGGAAAAAAGCTGTTTTATCTAGTTCAATACTACTATGTAGTGACAATATTCACAGAAATCTCAAGCATGGTATAAGGGATACAGTTTCAGTAATGCTATCAATAATAAAATTTTATTCCAAGAACCCCCAGTTCTGGAAACTTGGAGTGTCATTTCTTTGTCTTTACTGCTTCCTCTCAAGTGTTGCTCAAACATTTTTCTCAAATGCAGAATTAGCCCCCATCCTTTTCCTGAATGGACCCACAGGATTAAAAGTTTCACTGACTATTTGAAACCAAGGGCAGTCCCTGCCCTTATTTCCTGTCTAGCACTTTGGGCACTTCAGGAGAAACACCCTCATTTTTCACCTGACCCAAAGAAGTATGAAGGGCCACGGCACAACCACTCTCTCCCACAGAGGCAGAGGAGAACCGTGAGGGCAAGTTCAGGAGGGTTATTCAATATCCATCATCTGTTGCTCAAAAGAAAAAGCCACATGACAACAGCAAGTCTTATAAAAGGTAATGTTTCTCATCAAATGAGATTACTGGTATCTCCACAGTTTATTATCATGGCTATGCACAAGCCTCATCCAATTCATGCCCTGGTCATGGAACTTTATTCATCTTATATAGGATTAGCAACAAGGTTAATAATACCTCAAAAAACACAGGGCTAACTTACAACCTAACAGTTTATATAGTAAAAAAAGCACGAATTATTATTTCCGTTTCTTCCAACTACTTACAAATGCTATGTTTTAAAAATGAAGACAAACTACTGCTCCTGTAGACCACTGCAATTAAGCAGAATAAACTAGACCTCAAACTCCCTGGGTATACATATAATGAAGACTTCCTAAGGAAGCAGAAGAACAAACATTTGGAGACCATGGGCAACTATATCCTTCTGTGGGCAACTCATTACTGGTAACTAGAGTAGAAATCCCGACTTTGATACCTAGGCTTTTACTCTGTGTTTGACATCAAGGGATAAATTTCTTCAAGTCACATCAAGCAAAACTAAATCAATCCTTTACTAAAGGAAGCATAGTGGAGCAGAAATCAACAGTAATCTTAAGCAAGCATCTGGATAAACTCAGGCCTCTGGAATATCCCTGCCTTTTTACTGAGTACCCATCAAGTATAAATGGAAAGTCTGACAGAACTTCTGACAAAAACAGAGTATTAGAAGCGAATATTACAAGCAGCTCACTTAGCCATAATAAACTTTGTTTTCCTTCCCCCAAGATTTTCTTTAGACACACAAAGCATCCAGATACTCTGGGGGAACCTTGGAAAGGTGCCTGTCAATCAGACCTTATTGCACTGGCATATCAATTTCCAACAAATACTAAAAATACACAGTCTTAAGTAGAAGTCAGAAGGTGCAAAAACTGCAAAGTCCATCAGTTTAGTAGCCCTGATTCAGTGGGCTATTCCAATAAACACGGACACTTCATTAGCCAGTAGAGGACATGTACAACTGCTTAAGCCGTCTGTTCAACTACAGCAACATGATCAGTTTAGAGCTTCACGAGGGCTTAAAAACTCCTAAGACCACTGAGCTTCAGAGTACAAACATGAAAAAAAAAATTGACCACAGAGCTCAAATTGAAGTAGATAAGGAAATTAGGTTTTAATTTATTTTTATTCTACTTTTGCACATTTGACATGACTGAGGGTCTTGTTTCTAGAAGTATGAACAAGTCTGACAGATGCATTTAAGGGAAATAGTTACGGTCTCTGTGCTTGAGTTAAATTCAAGACATGATGCTATGTTCCATAATCAACCTATCTCTCATGCTTTTCCTGTTTGTTTTTCCATTTCCATTTTAACAAGTCACAACCACAAATACAAACCTTGAACACAGCATTTACTTGAAATGCTGCCTTAAAATAAACTTTCAGATGTTATTGTTCTCTGTGTGCATAGTTTCCATCCAGAACACCAAGTAACATTATTAGTGCCCTATTATAAATCTTCACAGCATAGTGTAATTTGTTGACAGGCAGAAAACAAAAACAGAAGCAGAGTTTGTGTGGTCTTTTCTCTGGACTGCACTCTCAGGATCTTTAACAAACCTTCTGATGTGCCTGCATAATCTCACTTTCTAAAACCTCAGAAAAACCCTGCTTTGCGTCTGAATTAGGAAACTGACTAACAAATTTTAGGATTTCCCAGGCTATTATTTTGTAGGTTGACAGAGCAAATACTAATACTTTTCACTTGATGCTTAAAGTCAATTGGTAAATCAATGCAGTCAGAGTCAACTTTATCAGAGCTCCGCTGACTGCACTAAAAACAACAGCAGACTCCTCATACTGCAATAAAAAACATTAGGAACATTACTACATAGGCTATATAACCAAATCTTTAGCGGGTTTTTTTGTATGTGCCTTGGGGTGGGGTTTTTATTAGTTGTTGGGTTTTTTGTTTAGTGGAGATTGCCCAATCCCTCCCATGAGGCCTTACAAAGTGTGCACACTACAGCAAAAAATGTTGGTGTGTGAGGCAATTCAGTATCCAACACAGAACCCCAGTACCAGACAGGTGCAAAAAAAAAAAAAAAAAAGAGAGAAAAACCGATAAAACAAAAAAACAAAGCTACATGAGTAGGACTTGCAAAAACTGGTTGCCAAAGACTCCAGCAGGATAACAGCCATTCTCTACGCTTACCTTACAAAAAAGCTGATACTCAGAGAAGAACTGGACAATTATTATAAGACAATCAGCTTCCAAATCCCCTCTTCTCCTTCCTCCCCCGTATTTCCCTGGGAAGACTCAAAGTCACCAAGATGACAGCAAGAGACAGAAACAACAGAAATCTGGGCAGCCACTACACTCATGCTTCATGATAAGCATACAGTGATACATGGCCCGCAAGGCAAAAGATCTTGGGAAGAGAATGTGCCAAGCAGCATCACGTAGGCAAGAAGGTCTCTTCGGCAGCAGTAATACTGGGACTTGTGAGCTATGGGATTACAGCAGAGAACCCAAGAGGAGAAAATACACTGACATGACTCATGGAAAAGAAACTTATGTACCAAAACTCCTCAATAAAATGCAAGCAAAAACTATACAGCTCCATATGAAAATCCATTACCTCTAAGGCTCCTGTAAAGACAGAAGTAGAAATATTAGCAGGGACATTGTTCTTTCACTAACTCACTGAAAACAGCATTATGGAGAGATGCCTCTGAAAATTACACATTTCTAAAACTGAATTTTAATATTACATCCATTCCTTAGCTTTACAGGAAGAAGAAACTATAAGGACACTCTCTAGAGTTGAAAGCCAAGAGAACCTTCCAAAGATAAACAGCAATGAAATGTCAGTAGTTCACTACTTCACATTTCAAAAGAAATAGTATTAGCATCTCCTGGTTTAGGAAGCCTGAATACTTTAAAATATAGGATTCATTACAAATTCAACCTGTACATACAAAACCATTCAGCAAATGGATCATGGAATATCAGATCCCAGATGAATATCTTCAATTTACTCTTTTAAGCAAAAAAAATTTTAAGAAAAAAAACCAAACAGGCTCATCAATAGCTGTTGCTCAGTACTACTGCAGTGCTGTCTGTGTCACATGCTGATTTGAAGAGAGACATAAGAGCACACAGTGTGACCCTCTCCAATGACACTTCACACTAATCAGCACTAACTTGATTTTATAAGTCCCAATCAATTACTTGACTTCATCACTTTGAAGCAATTCTCCAAAGAAAGACTGACAGGAATAACCAAGTGCCCCATATTCCCTCTCTAATATAAAACAAGCATGCTTTTGACAGAACTTCAGCCTGAACTAATTATAAGACATTTGATCCCAGATTCCAGTGACAGAAATGCCAAAATAGCTTAATATTCTCCGAGTCTGGTGGGAACAGGACCGTGTTTATACAATTGTTGGAAAATAGTCTATTCTAAACCCCTTCTGCAGGTGCCATATAGAAAACCTGCCATTTCTAAATCATTCCCAACAAGATTGCCCACAAAGCCCCTGGAAGGGTCAATTGAACTCTGAGTAGTATGAGTAGATAATTCTTCCAAAAGATGTTATTATGGCCTTTGCACTAGAGTCTGAAGTTGATCAAGCAGCATCTGCATTTCTCTTATGGAAGTATTTAATAAGCCCAGATACCACAGTTACGCACAACCTCCGCAACATGCCATCTGTTCATCCAAACCCATTTGTGAGACTAAGCTCACTGCGGTGTTTAAAGAATCACAACATACAAAATAT